CAAAGCTTTCCCGGACAGGTGACTGTGTGGCTGAGCTGACCAATGAAATCAGGTTTGCAATGAACAAAAATCACATGCAATTTAGATTGAGTTTGGTTAGGTTTAGTAATGCAGTAATTCATGTTTCTGGCAGGTAAAAGAGCTAAAAACATCTCCGCCTGAAGGCTTATGGGCTCTGATCGACTGCTTTGACACATTAGACAGTCGTTTGTGATAAATGTGATCACTGTGCTATTAATAATCAGTATCCATGGCAACAAAGATCCCAAATATAGCCGTGATCAATCAGCTTTACTTCAGAGGAGAAACTTACATTACGTCATCAAGTAAAGGTCATGTGATGTACTTGAACTTTCTGTGGATTTAACAAATTAAAATCAGTCCAATCTCAATCTACACTGATGAGACCCTGCTGCCACACATTCATTCCTCCTTTAAAACACACACTTGGAATTTATTATTTGAATAGTCTGGCATCTGTAATTTATTACAGTATATCACTATGATTTTAGTTCATAATATTTTAATAATCCTAAAATGTTACTTTTAAATACTATTTAACAATGATTCAAAGGAATCAACTCAAACTTCGAATGTCGTTGTCATGAGATTCAACTAAATGAATCATAATAAATTCATCTGGGGAAAACATTTAATTTTTAGTCCAACATTGAATGTTTAATTTGTAGTTAAGATGTAAAAATACAGAGGAAAAAGTCCTAAGTGTGAGATAAAGTCGCAATTTATCTTTTTATTTTATTTTTTATTTTTTTATCTCATGGCAGAAATTGGCTTCCATAAGTATCTTTTTTAGTTTTGGTTTTTTTTTTTTTTTTTTTTTTTTTAAAAAAAATTAAAAAAAAAAAAAAAAAAAAAAAAAAAAAAAAAAATAAAATATAAATATTCAATTGAAAACTTAAATATTAGAAATGTTGCCTTGGCACCTAACTAAAATAAGACAGGTTAAGCACTAAAATTACAAAAACTAAAAATTTTAAATAAATTTGTTCTAAATAGAAATAGTGCATTAACAAAATTACTAAAACTAAAACGGATCTAAAATCTAAAAATTAAAGTAGTGTATAAATAATACTAAAATAACACTGTCAGACAAACAAGGAGACATACTGAGATTTATTAAAGAGACATACGAAACTAACTTTCTCATTGTGCATATTCACTCTTCTACTAGTGCTGGCATTTTCCAAACTAGACATTTGAAAATAATGTTTTTAAATAATTGTGGTGCTGAAATTGTGATGATCAAAAAGGAAATTGCAGCAATAGGCAGTTTTGTACCGTTCAAGCTGTCCTTTTTTTCTTATCTTTGTAAAAAGAAAAGACTTTAGCTCTACTACTTTGTAATAACTTTCTAATTACTTTGTAATACAAATATAATGCAATTGCATTAATTATTCAATTCAATTCAAGTTTATTTGTACAGCGCTTTTCACAATACAAATCATTGCAAAGCAACTTTACAGCAAATTAAGTTTCTACAATATTTAGTGGTAGCTTATCAGTGGTGACTGTCAGTAAATGTACATATGGCAGAAATGTATGGAAAAATCAATTAAAGACGTAATCAAACAGACGATGAACACTATTAACAGCAATTATTATATGATGCAATCAAACTTATAGCAAAATGTGGTAGTTCTGTATGTTGTTTCAGGGTTGGCATCATCTGAAGTCCAATGAGGGGTTGGCATCAACTCTTCTCAGGTGTTCTGGATACAGACTGAAGCTTGTGTAAATCCCAGTTATCCCAATCCCGTGGCAAAAACAGAGAAACAAATAGAGACATAATTAGCATAGCTGCTGTTCCAACCAAGCAAAATGTATTTGTTTAATCCAAACTAAAGAATAATAATGTGAATTTGATCAGATATAACTGCAGTACAAGATTATGATATGCATGATTTGAATGCTTGGCCAAAGAGATGTGTATTTAATCTAGATTTAAACAGAGAGAGTGTGTCTGAACCCC